CCGGGCCCGCCGCGTGGAACGCGACGACGTTAACCACTACGCCACCGTAACGCTACAATCAACCGTCTTTTTTCGCGTGGCGTCGCGCCACCTTAGCATTAATTACCTATTTAATTAGAAAATGACCCGCGGAAACAACAGTGCGTCCCATATTATATTATTAATGGGGGTACCCGATAGGGTAGTGGTTAAGGTGCGCGACCGCCACGAGGAAGTCCCGGGTTCAATTCCCGGTGTAGACAATAGATAGGTAGAGATAATACATAGGGCGTAAGGTAAAATATAGGTGAATATATAAATTAGACAGTAGTATTTATAAGAAGTAAAAGGTATGTAGGTATATAATAAGTTAATGACGGTTGAGTACTTGAGTACTTTTCTATCATAATAAACACCTGTAGGTATTAATGAATACAAATAATACCAGAATAAATATAATTAATATTATTGAAGAATATAAATTATATTCATAATTGTACAATTTAATGTATAAACTAGCTGTATATAATAGAGTTAATTATATAAAAAGTCAATATATTAGATTTATGAGTTCTTATTGAAATATATGAAATTTTTTGAACCAGTTTATGAACCCGATTTTAAATTTTAGCGTTCCGGCAGAAAAAAATATTAGCACAACACCACTGATAAAGACCAAATATCAAAGGGCGTAAGCGCCGCATCGCCGTCTAACACGTAAACATTGGTACGGAACCCATGGGAATGTAAACAAAATTTATACTTATTGTTAAAATCTCTATAAAATATCTAATAATTTCATGTGCATATGTCTAATGATCATTTTTGACCGCCAAATGGCTCATTTTTGTACTTTTTCCTCCATATCTCCAAAGTCGTTGGACCTGGAAACATGGTCAAATACAGAGAATTTAAAATTTTTATTTTTATTTGAGTAAGAAATAAATTTGATAACCAAAAATTAAAAATGTGTGTTAATGTTATAAAAAATAAAATCTAAACAATCACTAGTAATCACGAAATGATTCTCACAAATTGGTTGATTGATTGATTAGAATACTTTTTTTTTCAAAATTAATGTAGAATTAAGTTTGTATTGATAATAGTAATAAGTAGTTATTAATAAGCGTTTTAGTTTGCACCTGTTTTAGTCTATTATACTTTTTTATTATAACTATTTTTTATATGCATTAAATTTCAATAACAGAAACAACCCTCTTTATAATATCGATTTTGTAGATTAAATTTTTAAATATAATTAAATTACTTGAAATTTTATTAAAGCCATTTTTGTAAATTAAATATAAAGTAACGTTAATTTTAATAATTTCAAATTAATATTTTTTGTTTTTATTGGTCCAATATAAAAGTAAAAATAATCATTTTAAATTTATACAATTTATTCTTTATGATCGAGTAATTAACGTTGATGATAAACATTTTAAATTTATAGTTTTTATTGTTCTTGATTTTTATACCTATATTTACAAAAAATAATGTATTGTGGAAACTTATGTTACTATGGCCAAAAATCTAAAGTATTTATCTTCAGTAATTGATATCACATCAATAACAAACTAATTAAATTGTTTCATGTACTTACTGTGTACTTCTAAATAATTTGATAAGAAAGCAATTATCATCTTCAAGTCAAGTAAATACCTACTATTCTAGTCCAGTCATTTGGTGCAAAAAAAGGCTGTTGCCGGTACAGTACTCCGGGAATTCTGAAAATTAGTAATCTTATAGATTTCGAGGTGCTCTTTACGAAAATCAACTTTCCCACCTCAAATTTGAACGGCAAGTTGCCGCCATATTGAAAAAATGGCGTCAAAAAACAGCTTTTTTAAAATATCTTCTTTCTGGCTCAATTTACGATAAAAGTATCTATGTACGAATTAAACTAGAGAAAATTTCCTACAATTCCTTAGAAAACCGTTTTTTTGTAAAATTGATAGTTTGAGAGTACGGCCGCCTCAAAGTCTTTGCTGCTCTCGCCGTAGTATCAAATCTGTCCATATATGACAGCACTTCGAACTTGACCACATTCTCTCTAATAATTAATATTTTCAATGTTAAATTAAGCGAATAAGATCTTAAGCGATCTAATTCAAATATTTTTCGTTTTTTTGTTGCTAATTTTTTAACACTTCAATGGCAAAGTAGCTGTAAATATACTTATAGCTTGAGTAGCACCTTATAGCTTCAAGTAGCTTGAAGCGTTAAAAAATCAGCAAAAAAACAGAAAAACATTTGAATTATTTTATTTCTAGATCTTATTCGCTCAATTTAATATTGAAAATATTAATTATTAGGAAGAATGTGGTCAAGTTCAAAGTGCTGTCATATATGGAGAGATTTGATACTACGGCGAGAGCAGCAAAGACTTTGAGGCGGCCGTACTCTCAAACTATCAATTTTACAAAAAAAACGGTTTTTTAAGGAATTGTAGAAAATTTTCTCTAGTTTAATTCGTACATAGATACTTTTATCGTAGATTGAGCCAGAAAGTAGATATTTTAAAAAAGCTGTTTTTTGACGCCATTTTTTTAATATGGCGGCAACTTGCCGTTCAAATTTGAGGTGGCAAAGTTGATTTCCGTAAAGAGCACCTCGAAATCTATAAGATTACCAATTTTCAGAATTCCCGGAGTACTGTACCGGCAAGACGACCAAATGACTGGACTATTCTTAATGATTATATTATTTGATTTTGTTAAATTATTATGTTGTATAGCTAATAGATTTTTATGTACTGAAGTGGTTCTAACTGAATTTAAATTCATTATTTTATTTGTTATTCATTAATATTTATTACAAGATTGCAGGTATCTTTACATTTTGTCAACAATATACAGTTTCTAGTATGAAATTCGAATTAATCGACTTATAATTTCTACAGGCTAATGATATTGCAATATTAATAAAAAATTACTTTAGCAGAATTTTTGAGCAAGAAAAATAAATCATAAATATTAATAATAATGATATTGTAAAATATATTTAGCATATATATTGAACCAACAACCGTTACAGAATTACTTTTCATAAATGAAATAAAATAGAGACTCGAATTTTAGATAAAATTTCCAATATTTTATCAAATATACAAATTTAAAACTTTTCCATAAAATTGAACAATTCCTCTTGATACTGTTCACAATGGTATCTTCTACAATTACGAACACACGCCTTTTCTAAAATATTTCCGTAAAAAATATGTATTGTGATGATAATATTTATAAAGAAGCATGCGATTATTTTAGTGAGAGTTTCGCACAAAATTTAGGAACATGTTTTTGAATTTGCACATTGAGCGTGAAAAACCTACTTTTATAGATATTTGAAATAAAATATAAATTATTAAAAATTTAAATATATCAATTCCAAAGCTTTAGACACTTGTTACAACTATATGGTAAAAATATGATTAATGTTAATATAGAGCACTGCATATAGTGCGTCAACTCATATAAGTTATCTCTATTTTATAATATTTTTAGTCGTTTTTGCATTCTCTATTTTAAATTTTTTAGTCAATTTTTAAAATTTTATAAAAAAAATATGTACTATAATTTCAAATTTTTTAAAGAGTTCTTTTTCAAATGAATGTACTAATATATGATTTTTAAACTTTGATTTTTAAATTAATATCGAGGTGTATATTTTCATAAACAAAAATTAGTGGTGACTTAGCTCGTTTAAAAAACAAAAAAAAATACTATTATAAAAATTAAAGGCTCTCTGACTATGTTAATTTCACGGTATATTCCAAAAATGTATATGCTGTTTACAATATATAAAAATATCTCGTTTTGGCACGTGTATATATGTTATTTGATCAAAGCCATCAAATCCATATCATTCATTTTTCCAGGTAAACATCAGATTTATTGTCTGAAATAAATTAGTCAAATTTTAATTATGATATCAATCTATATAATTAGCAAAGATTAATATTATATATCTTATTTATTATATGACATATGAGGAATAAGTTTTTTAAGTAAATTTTCTAAGAATAGTATATTTATTTTATATATACAAATATAAGGAGATTTTTATCTTCGAGTTGAATAGTATTGTCATTGACCTAGAGCATTGGATTATAAAAAAACGTTTCTTATATAATAGAGTTTGAAATAATAGTTTCTTGACCTATGATAAAACTTTTTTGAGTGATGTATGTAAGAAGCAAGTATATATCTTAAGTGATATCATTTAATTCATTTTATACTTAAATCAAAATAATTTAAAAATGAGTCATTCACTTTTCAATATTCAATGTCCGAAAACTGTTAAAAATATATTTGGACTATTTCAGCATAACTATAGTAGAAAGATTTAGACCTTATATTAAGTTAGTTACGATCTTAGCATGTAATATTATAATATTAGTCTATTGGTATGCTTTGGATGCATTTAATCAATCATTATTGCACTCAGCAGAGTAGTTTAATACAATTTCTCAATTATGCCACTGATCATCATTACATCAATGATATGACCTCCTTGATCTCGAACTTGTGTCAAATAACATGTTTTGCTTTCAATAGCAAACCGAAGATCTTTGGAAGTTATATGGAGACAGAGTTTAACAACATTTAATACAATAGAGACTGATTACTCTACTAGATTCTATTACAGTTTAAATAATAAATTAAATTGTGCTATTGAAAATTCTGCTAACCGAAAAAACAAATAGAACTGTATTATTTATCTAATTTATTCTAAAATATTTTTTTCATAAATTATTTATAAGTTAGTCAAAAAAGGTCATAAGTTGGTCTAAATAACTGTTTGATAGTTAATAAGGGCATTTTTGATTTGGAACCTAAGTGATTAGACTCTTTGATATGGTTCCAAACAACTGGTCCTAACCCAATGGAAGAAGATAACACATGACTCGTACAATCTTATCATTATATTAAAAATTTTGTAAATAACTATACAAATACACGATTATATTTATGTCACGTACGCCGATATATATTTTATACATTAGATTGAAAATTAAATCTTCGGCCATCATACAGAGGCTGCATTTGGAGTGATAAACTTAAATCAATCAGAGGTGAGAGTTAAGTTATTTACTATATAGAAACCAGTTTCATTCCGTTGCAAGTGTATTTGATCTAAGAATTTATTTGAAATCGCCTTAGTGTTACAAACATTCGTGTACAGTTAAGTGAAATATATTGTCTTATCGACAGTGTCTCGTAATTTTGTGTGTTTTGTGCTGATTCAAATTGTAAATATATGTGACAAATATTTGTTTTTCTTTAAAACGTATGTATACTGGACGTGCAGGCCCTTGGGCCTGGAATATAATAGATTATTTTCATATGACTGATAGACTTGTGCATTAAAATACCTTTTAGTTACTATATGTACCTAAAATTCAGGTTTTTTGATGTGTTAAATCTTTTACGATAATCATAATTATTACATATCACAAAATTCTAAGACAGACATACAGAGAAAAAAAACATGAAAAAATGTATATACAAAATGCACTCAAATAAAATAAATAACAAATAAAATTAAACGCAGAAAAAATGAAAAAAAGAAAAAATCATCGTAATTGCTCAATTTATTATGGAATATCATTGTTTTACATTAAGTCTATAAGCAGTTACAGAAAATTTTCATCATGTATTTTTAGCAAAATATTACAAAAAATGGAAAAGTAAATTTTCTAATTTAATATTATATATCAATATTTTTACCAATTTAATAATCAGAAAATACTTTACTATCTCTACTTTTAGTAGGATGAAAAATCCACTTAAATTAATGTCCATTCTAGGTTGAAAATATTTTTTTCATATTATTTTATGAGGGTATAACATACTGCTCTTGAAAGAATATATATCAACAATTATAAAAAGTATTCCTAAAAATACAATAATTTTATTCTACTCTTAAAAGAAATTGTAATTTTCGATTATTTTATGTATTGCAATATTTATATATCTGATCTGATTTTAGTAATTTATTTGGTTTTATTTATTTGCACTTTCAGTGCTACTAGGATTACTGAAACTCTTTTATCAATCAAAATAATATTTTTTAAATCTTATTATGTGTATAAAACATATAATATTTTTTTTTAATAAACAAAATGTCTCACAAATAATATTTTCTGCATTTGTAAATATCGTTAGGTGTGTGTATACATTTTTATGTTTTTAAGCAGATTTCTTAAATGATCTTTAGAATTTATTAAAAACATTATTAAAGCCTGTATTAACAAATTTTTTTTATTTGCACTTAAATTTTGTTGTTCAATTGTATACTATGTCTATATAAGAAAAACAGATTTTGGACTTTGATTAAATAAAATTTCCATTTTTTTTTTGAAATTAAAAAAAAATATATAAAATGATACGAAACTTGTAAATTTTTAATTCAACTAATAAAACTGCATGTTACATTACGTTTTAAATAGTAAAATTAACATTGTTCAAACAAAAAATTAATTTAAAATTCAATCAAGTTAATTCAATTATAACATGATATATGCAGAGATTAATTATCAAAAGTTTGCCTTCATTATTTTATAAAATTTATTTTTAGCAGATAAATTAGAAAAATGTTAGCAAGACCCCTATTGCCACAAAATCCAAAACAGGCCCCTTCACATTCTGAATTTGTGATTAGTGACCGTGGTTATGGCAAAGATTTTGTAAAATTATTGCATGTTAAACGAGATGGAGAAACACATCATATTAGAGAATTTGAAGTTGGAACTCATTTGAAACTTGCTTCGGATGTAGATTACCTAAAGGTAATAGAAAAATAATGATACATTTTCAGCAACAATTATGTTAATGCTTGATATTTATATAATATTGAAAAAAAGAGTTTTGGTGATATATGTTAATTAATTATAATTTTTAAAACAATGATATGCATTGAGATTTAATCTGCCATTCATTACATGACGTAATGAATTGCTAGGCTAGAAATTAAATTTTTCAAATATTTTTTGCATACAATTTTTTATATATTTATTGTGTTTTATGATTTTTTTTCAATATATTTTTTTTCTTAGGGAGACAATGTCGATATAGTAGCCACAGACTCCCAAAAAAATACAGTGTATCTTTTGGCTAACCAACATGGTGTGAATACCCCTGAAGAATTTGGCCTTTTGTTATGCAGGCACTTTTTGCACACCTACCCCCATGTTCTAGAATGCAGTGCCACTGTAGAGATGTACCCTTGGGAAAGAATAAAGGGTAGTGGACAACCAGAAAGACAGCACAAACATGCTTTTATTTTTAACCCGTCGGCGGTCAGACATTGTGTGGTCACACAGAAAAAATACGGTAAATTATATATATATATATATATATATATATATATATACGTATATATATAAATATATGTTATGCTAATATTATACACTTTTACTACAATTATTGTTGTAAATTGACAATAAAAATGCAATAATTAACAATTACACTAACAATTATGCTAATTTCTTAAACATATTTGACATGCAGCACGACGACCCGGTATGTTAACGCCCGGGTCGTCGCGTGCGTCAAAACACAAAGTAGTTTGAAAATTACCATAACTTCAACAATTATAGAAAGACAATGCTGGATTGTAAAGCAAAAATAAAATTATAAATATTTTATTTTTTTTTTGTTTAGAAACTCCGGTCGTTCGAAGTTGTTTGAAGGATCTTCGTGTTCTCAAAACAACGCAATCAGCATTCACTGGGTTCGTCAATGACGATTACAGGTAATAATATTTATTTAAAAAAGTATGTTTTTTTAAAAATTTTTATAACAAACTGTACAATGAGTACATTCAGCTACAGTTATAGACCTTCTGTTATTATAGCATTACATTTTTAGGTAATTTGGTTCTTTGTTTAAGTCGCTTAGATTGTAAAGACTTGAGCAGGTCACAAGCCGAGCTTTGTATCTGGAGTAGAAGTAGTTAAAAAAAATCTCAATTGTTTATCTTGAAAGATCAATACTGCTCTCTATATTTAATTATTATTTTATCAATATTTAAATCGGTTATAAAATTTTCAGGTCTCTGCCAGACGCCTACGACAGAATATTTAGTACAATAGTCACAGCCGCTTGGGAGTACAAGACTTTAGACGGATTAGATTTCGATAAGGCCTGGGATATTGTAAAAGATTCAATTATCAGAAATTTTGCAGGCTGCCCAGACAAAGGTATATTTTCACCTTCAGTTCAAAAGACCTTGTATTTGGCAGAAAAAGAATCATTGGAACGCGTACCGCAAGTAAGTAATAAAAAATAAATTTTTTACTGAGAATATTCAATACAATGTTAATTCTAGTTCCATCAATTTACTTTGAAGCATAAGGATATATACTGTTAGTTATAATATGTGTTTCTATTTCTTTCCAGATGAGTACCATTGAGATGACCATGCCAAACAAACATTACTTCACCTTCGACTTTTCCAAATTCCCAAGAAGTGTCGTGCCAAGAGATAACAAAGAAGTCTTCATGCCGGTGGATAAACCATCTGGAACTATTTACGCACAACTTTCCAGGAAAGACGTCATGAGCAAACTATGAAGTAACAACCGAAGTCAAATAATGCATATCGTTTGAGAAATTTTTAAAATACCCATCAAATATATTATATATATAACGTAAAATTTGTTTTATTGCTTCGAGTTTTATATAAGAATCATCACATTGAGAACAATTTACAATAAGAATAAGTTTGAATTCAAGTCATATGACTAATTTTCTTTCCTTTATTTCCTGAATTTATTATTTTCTAAATTAAATTTTATTTAAACGTTCATTTTAGTCTATTGTTCCGGATCATACATTGTTCTTGCTTAAATTGTCAATACAAAAGTGTGAATTAAATATCTATTAATGTACATATTTTACCAGACATTTTATTACATCAATCCAGACAGATTCTTGTCAATGTAATGTTTTTAAATGTGCTTTTACATAATATTAAACAAATGCGCTTAAGTATACGGATGTCGTATATCCTGGAGTAACAATTTCAAGAATTGATCTCACTTTCAATAAACAAGAGATAAGATTACTTAAATATAACAAAAGTCAGCTTTTTACCACGGTTTATTCATTAAGTGAAAACATTTGAAACTAATGGTTATGAACGAGAGTTATATAAAAACAATGTGTAAAAATATAGTTCTATTTCTCTTATTTGTAAATATTTTATATAAAAGAAATGCAGTTGCTAGTGAAAATATTTCTCCAAACAAGAATTTGAAAATTGATGCGAATTTTACGGAGTTGAAAGAAACTAATGTTTGTGGTAAAATATATTCGGGTAAAGAAACAATAGTTACATCCCCAAATTATCCAAACTCTTATCCAAAAAATTTTTTATGCACATACATATTTCGAAACGAAAACGGTAACAAGTGCGATTTCAACTTCAAATTTCTTGATTTCAAACTGGAAACCTCTTATGAATGCAACAAAGACAAGTTAAAGATTTTGGATAATGATGTTTTGTGTGGCAACCAAATTGGTGTAAATACTTATAGTACAGAAACTAATGAATTATACGTGCAATTTGTATCGGATGATAATATTGAACAAAAAGGATTTAAAATCATGGTTACGCAGTTGGGTTGCAAAGAAGTAAATCCAGTTACTAGTACACAAGAAACAGTGTTGGTTGAAGCAGAGAGTAATAATAAAGAAATATTTGAAAACCAAATAAACAACAGTGTTTCCTTCTTGTTTTCAAATAAAACTGATGTAGAAATCATACCAGCAACGGAAGTGACAACAGAAGTACAGCCAAAAAATGAACCGCAATTTGACTACGTACCGCCTACTGGAACAAATAATTTTCCAAATATACCATTTTACCCAAATAATATTCCAAATTTTCCCTCATCACCTGGATCGCCAATACCTCCATTTCTTCCTAATTTTCCTACCTCACCTGGCGTACCTGTTGTACCAAGTTATCCAGGACCAAATGTACCAATCAATCCCTATCTACCAATCTTTCCTGGTTCTGGAGGATTTCCAACCAGTCCTCCTTTGCCAATACCATTATGTTGTGCAAACTCATTTTTTGAAAAACGTTTTTTGATATCTAGTCCTGGATTTCCAAGCACATCTCAAGGTAGAATTGATTGTCAATATCGCATCTTCCGAAGTCTAAACGCTTGTAAATTAAGATTTAATTTTCGATATTTTTGGACTGGTAATAATGACCAACAATCCACATGTCCTCAAGGATTCGTTGAAATAGATGGACGTAGATTTTGTGGTTGCAGAAGCGGTTTGGTTTACGACGTATTTTGGGGAAACTTACCAATAACAGTACGATATAATAATGTTGGAGTACCTAATTCATTTATTAGTGGTTTTGTTATAGAAGTTACTCAAATAGATTGCCCGTTCAGATATATTGATAATAATGCGAAGACAAAAAATGCATCTTCAAGTGATAAATTAAAAATGTTGGAATTCGAAGATGTTGATAATAGAATCAAATGGCCTCAAAAGCGATCAATAGATGGAAATGCTTACTCAAACTACAATCATTCAGAACAGTATAACATTGGAAATACTCATAGTAATAGGTCCAAAGATCTGCAAATGGCACAATTGTCTCAAAGATCTACTGAAAGCACTATAAATTACTACTTTTTCGAAATGCCTAACATGAACAAAGATGCTGAAGAAATAGATATATTTGAGCCAGAAAATGTTACAGCAAGAATATTTTTACCAAATGGTTTAAATGATAATATATGCAGGTTGTGGGGATTCAAACAATGGCTTGAACTATCAGCTGAAGTTTTATGGTTAAATAGACCTCAGTGCATTCCTCCAAATGCTAACCAATTATGTCACCCACTTGATCAAATTACTGGCGAATTTCAGTCGCCTAATTTTCCTAGACCGTATCCACCTAATCAGAATATATGTTACAGGTAAACAGGATAAATAAAATTATTCATAAGTTATATAAACTCATATTCTTTGTATATATAATTTTAGATTTATTAGAAGACCAAATTTCAATAGGGTTCGAATATGGTTTATTGAATTCAGCCTAGAAGATAGCCCTAATTGTTCAAGGGACAAACTTTTAATTGGTAGTCGAGCCTATTGTGGGCATTCTTTGCAGAATCGAATAAGTAAGTATTAAATGAAACACATTTTTGCTTCCGTGTCACAAAATTCATAATAAAATTAATTAATATTTCATATATCTATTGCAGTACATTTAGCAGCCATTGGAAACACATTCCCAGAAATGAGATTTTTAACAGATTCCTTCAATTCGCACATTGGATTTAAAGCACAGTATACTTATTATTATCAATAAAAAATAAATGTATAAAATATATTTTGCCAATAGATTATGCAATTATTTATGCATTATCCTAAGCATCAAAATGTATTATATATTTATATCTGGTAAGTCTTTTATTTATTTATTATTCATTTATTTTTGTGAGTTACAATAAATTATCATTTTGTATTAAAGAAATATCATCAAATAAAATATTAAAATATAGTCTTTCATTGATTATTTTTTAGCATAATAATAAACAGTTATATTTACTACAAAAATGCAACAATAATTAATTATATGTAAATCCTAATCATAATATTGCGCTTCAATTTAAGAGATAAAATTAGATATATGATTTAAATGTATAAACTTTATAATTTTATTAATTATCATTTTCATAAAACGTACTAAAAGTGTAATTAACATGTATTACATATTTTAGTTTGTTATGCAAATATATGAAAGCAGCCTAATTATTTTTTTGTATAATTTTATTTAATTTAAAACATTAAGTTATTTAATTTTATATATTATTATCTATGTGTGTAAAGTATATATATCTATTGCAAAGAGTATGACTATAATACCGATATTTAGAGATTACATAAAGTTTTAAATGTAAATAAATGAGGCATGTTTGCAATATTTTTTAAATTATTAAATCGATTATTCAGTTTATAGTAGTCAATGTATGCACAAGTTAAAATGATATTTTTTGTGATCGGATATGAGTGTTAATATCGGATAATGTTATTATAGTGCTTGAAATTAATTTTTGTAAATTAAAGCCTATAAATTTGTTGTTAATCAAGAATACTACAAGAAATTTTACAAGAGCTGGTGCTTAAAATATTGACTCATTTAATTATGTACTTTGTGAAATTTAAAATTTGTGAGACTGTTATCACCAGATTCAGGAAAATGGTGCATTTTATATATATCAAAGGTAAGTGAAAATAATTTTATTAAAAGAGATCGGAATTTTATTGGAAAATGTATTTCAGCCATAATTATTTATTAATATATCCAAGTTTAGTAAAATATAAAATGCTGTTAAGAACAATATTTCTATTGACTTTTTTGTTTAAATATATTTTTAGCACTAATCTCATGATCAGTCAAAATTATTTTAAACCAAATGATACAAAATTAACCTATCAGTTTTAAATTCTAAAACGGAGATTCTGAACATACTACTACTTTTTTAGTGTCAAATTTTAAAAGGTTCAACAAAGAATTAAATTATTTAATAATCGATATCAGACGCAAAAAAATTATACTTGGTGAATAAAAAATAATAAATTATGTGAATGATACAGAAGGGGAAAACACTCAATATTCATCAGTTCGAATAAATACAATTAAAATTTTAAAACTCACCAGTAAACTGAACTGAACACACTCCTTTTCACCACAATTCTAATTGTATTGATAAAATCATATATTTTCACTAAAAAAAGGCAGAAACCAAAATTGCTTAATCGTTTTTGTAACTATAATGATTATGACACTATCACTTAAAGACTTTTGGAATATTGTCCAAAAATATGCTTTTCATAACCTGTCTAGTTTTGTAAATTTAAATACTGATTGAATGATAATCTTTCAAAATATTGAGGTCAATTTATCTAATATTCAAAGTATAAATAAGGCCGATTTCCGGATTGCCTTTTATTTATTATGCTTTTTTTATAAATTACAATCTGCCTATATAAAAGACATTGACTATTTAATTTGACAAATAACATAGAATTTTAAAAGGAAAACCTAGTGGTTCACCTTTTAATAATGTACTAAATTAATTCTAAAATAAAATTTTGGTATTTATTTATTATTCATGATCGAAATAACTGATCTATTTAAATAAAAAAATCAATTGCGACAACAAATTTATGATCTTTGTTTATTTTTATTTTACATTGGGGACATTTATTTTACATGAATGATTATTCAGTGCATAATATTTTCTAGACAATGTTTGCCATAAAAATATATTATTACCTATTAATTTTATCATTATACTTTGAACTCTTTAGACATCAATCGTTACATTATATATTTTTTATATTACACTTTAAAATATCTTACATTCATAATTCATTATACTATCTATAATACGGTTAATAGTCTTTATTTTATATAATATATTTAATTTTTGATAATTGTGTATTATATAATTATTTGATTATTATGTATTTATCGTGGAGGAGTTGGAGTGGTGATTTCTCGAGTTCTCAGTAAACGTATATTTGTGAAAATTGCCCCTGTAGATCGTTCTAAATTGCAAAAATTTATAGATTTTTGAGGACCCTCTCTTCGCATTTCTTGCAAAGCCACCAACAATTTGAAGATGTCTTCACGAGTTGGAGTGCAAATGTATCTTCGAGTTGGTGGCCTGTGATAAAAAAAATTGATATAATATTTAAGAAATGTCAGCCCTATTGGATAAACTCTAATAATAACAAATTATCAAATATGGATGGATTAACCATTGGGTTACTATATAAAAATATGAAGTAAGAAGAAGTTTTAACTCAACACCATATAGGACGTAAGGTTCTGATTGCTGTTAAAAAAATATGTAAAAAAAATAATTAAGAATTCTGATAAATTCCTATAAAATTTTACGCATCCTATGGAATAATACATTGTGTATTTTTTTACTTACGATTTATTATCAATATGCTGCCTTTTTCGAATATCTGGTTCATCCAACTTGATATCTTCCACGTAGATCATAGGAAGTGGTCTTGATTGGAAAATTTCCAATAGCCTTAGGAGGAATGTTGATGTTGATATCAGGTCCGAATCGGTTAAAACTGATCCTAAACCTAAAAAAATGCAAATAATAAGTCAAAATAATTAAAAAAAATTGATATATTTTTTTTCAAAAATATATTATTTTAGCTAAAACATTTAAACTGAACAGTGGTAACGATAATTAAATAGTGATGATTATTCAGTTTATTTTACGATGTCATAAATTATATCTAATTAAGTTAACAAATTGCTGTTTTAATCAATTTTAAAAAAAACCTTTTAGATCCTTTTTAATCATCACCTTACTAATTTTCTTGTAAAAAATTCAAAACCTTGAAATTTTGTTTCAAAAAAGCATTATAACACATAAAGCAATAATTTATATTAATATAATTTCGCATAATTAATTATAATCTAGAACACAAATTTTGATTAAAAAAATATTTTTGAATATATTTTCAAGATAACATGAATATCAAATTATTAGAGCTGTTTTCCTTCAATCTCATTATATATATATATATATATATATATATATATATATATATATATAATAAGAACCATTGCAATTATAAAGAAGTAAATTGCATAAATTGGTCTAGGAAGGGTATAGATGGTCTAAGCAATGAAAATGTTTAAAACCGTTAATTTTAAATGTTAAAATCAATTTTATAATATAAATATATATATATGTGTGTGTATATGTATACATATAATTTAAATTAATTCTTACCAAGAACATCATCAACATTGGTCCATTCCAAGAGCCCATCATTCAAATGATTTCTCAAGGCATTAGCTGCTGCAAAATCTATTAAAATGACACTATTTATAAAAATAAGCAAATATTTATCACGGCTTTTCATTCTGTTTAAATTTTATCAGTAGAAGAACAAAAATATTATTTTATCAGATTACAATTATTTATTCACTATTAAGGGATGTGGTTGTGTCTCAAGTTTCGATTTGATAAAACAGTTGCACTGATCGAAGTTGCGTTTTATATAGGAAAATGTTTGAGAAAAATGCGCAAGTACAAGAGATGGAAATGTGCGTAGGCTGAAAAATATATCTATGCATGAATTATGATGCCTCCACATATTTCGAACAACGTATCGGGTTCACCCCTTAATGCCAGGATCGGAATAATGTTCTATTGAATAGAATTATCATAATAATTAGATCAGATTGAACTAGATGCAAATAGCAACAACTTTCCTACATATAAATTTCGTTTAATTTTTATTGTTTTTTCCAGCAGCAATCATAACTTGAAGATCCTATAAGCTGTAGAATTAATTTGACTTAATACTATGTAGGTTTTATAGATGACAACCCAAACAGTTGTCTCATCTCTGTATGGTAAATTTTATTATTACAACTTTTGTAAAAGCAAAAATATTTTATTGGTGCAGTAATGCTGGATGAGGTATATTTTCACTTAGAAACATCTTGCTATCTGTATTTCCAATGTCAATACTGCTTGATATCAGGCTCCTCGAAGCTAGATCGACACCAGGACCTCTAAATCAGTGAGTGAGCCTCACTCAATATATTTTTACAACGTTTTGAATATATAAAATTGACTGACTATATTTTTTTGTACTAAACTGTTGAACTATAAAAAAGTAGTAACAGGCTGTATAATAATAATATAAACGTTTTTTCTAAAATAGTTTTGTGTATATTCCTACATAAAAAATAACATTTCACTCAATTTTATAACTGGTTAAGTTCTTATTATCTGCATTAATGTTTTCAACTTTTGTCATTGATTTTGAAGCCAAAAAAACTTCAAGTCTAGAGTTCTTGTTTTTGTTTTAAAATATTAAATAGGGTTAAAAGTGTGTTATTAATTTTATTGGATCATCTCAAATATATAAATATAAAATTAGCATTATCAATGATGAATAATTATTTACTCTTAATAAATATTTACTCTTATAATATTTTAGTACATTTGATACTTATATACTAGTGAGAATATCTACTTAAAAATGTCTCTTTAAATTCCATTATAATCAAAAGTTCGACTCTGTTAAATTCAGCAAATATGAATGAATGAAGTATATATAAAAGTTATGTAATATCAACCAGTCGTCATTTCATTCATATATAGTTACAATCTTAAATTTTAAACTTATATTATTCCTATCTTTCCACAAATATTCTAAAAACATGAGTCGCAGTATTCAAGAACAATAGTAATAATCAGAATAAGATTTATTAAAGAATTAATAAAATAAAGCTTTATTAGATGGGCTTGATAATAGTATCAATATAATATGTATGTAAATATGAAATGCGTTGCTATTCATAGTTTTATTCTTGAAGGTAGATTATAATTGAATCATCTAAATATATTGTTACTATCTTGATATAATGTATAAAAAAATATTTACATAAATCCGCTAAATATATTATTGTTTAAATCCTCTCGCATCAAAAACACATCTTTCCTTATATTCTATTTTAAGTATATATCTTTTCTGCATCTATTTCAAGTATTTTTTCCTGTATTATTAAGATGTTTTTCATGTGTATTTTATCAGAAATAGATTTGTTTATATAGGAAAATTATTTCCATATATATATTTATACCTAAGTCAAAAATTATTATATTATAAATATAATGAAAATGTTATACTTTGTTTAAAAAAGTTATATTTTTATTTGAACAAAAAAAGTTATGTTTTGATAAATATTTATATAAAATATGATAAAAGATTACATTCAAATAATATTATATTAAATCCCAATGGCTTATAGAATATAATTGTTCAGATTGCCATTCGATATGTTTGTAAAATAATAATAATAATAATAACAATAATAATAATAATAATAATAATAATAATAATAATAATAATAATAACAATAATAATAATAATATACAAGTTCGTACGTTTCCAAATTTATGCCACATTTATAAAGGTCATATATCATGAATTTATCAAAAAATGCAATAAAATGATTATAATTAAGCATTTACTATACATAATATGAAACAATGAAAATTTAATAAAATAAAATATAATACTAATATAGATAATAAAGATTCATTAAGATATCATTTATACTCAATTAACGAATCATAAAAGCCTCTTATATGAGAATTAATTAAAATTTAAGTCTCTTTAGTAGTTTTTATCTGATTGTATATAATATTTTGTATAGTAGAAATTTCTATTTATACAGGCTGTCCCAGAATTTAATGTCAAGCCGAAACGGGCAATAGTATTTACATAACTTTCCTGAAAAAAATAGTAAAAAAAATTTCAGGTAGTTTGAAAATTATGAGCTTTTGAGTGCAACCTGGAACTTTGGTGAATTATGACCATGTTTCGGTTATTGTGGCAAATTTTTAAAAATTATGAATTTATAGTTCAACAAAGAGGCTTCAAAACTAATTTATACTGAGGCAATTGTGTTATTATATTTTTATATATAAAATATGTTTAAAATAATTAAAGCAACAATTATATTTCTTACATTTGCATTAAAACATGCATAGATTTCCAAAACTTTCATCATCTGAAATATATTGATTAGAAAATCTTTGTCATGAGAGTTCATATGAACACTATAAAAACAGAAGCACATATTTTATGTGCATTTATCATGTCAAGAAATTTTTACTTCTCATGAATGCAAGTTTGTAACAAACTTAAAACTTTTTCAGATATATAAAATAGTGTTTCTTAAAATAGGTATATGATAAATTCAGCACGTGCACATTTTTAATGGGGTTTTTACACCGGTTTTATATTCTAAGAAAGCTTAGTGTAAGGATATTTTTATATTTTTAATACATTTTATATTAAAATTAGATTATTCCAGATTATGTTCCAAACTGTAGTTATCAATCATTTCAAAAAATTAATTATTTTATATATTAAACATTAAAATTTTTGGTTAATATTCATTTATATTTATTATATGTTATATGAATTTCCTAAAACGATGAATAAATTTATTTTCAAAAATATTTGAATCTAATGATATAATTTAAAAATGTCTCCATTATTGTATATTATTCAATTTACAATCAAGACTACATGTTTCATAATATCAATTTATTGATACATGGTAATAATATGCAATGATTGATAAAATTGTTAATTAATTAGTTTTTTGGTATCAGAATTTATTTCATTTTGGTAATTTTTATTCATAGCAATGTGTGCTTAGAATTTTTGATTTTAATTTTCAATTTGTACCAAAATTTTGAAAGCCTCTACCAATCTTTAGCCAATTGCTCTTCTCAGTAACATTTTGGGCCAAATTTTTGCCGTCAATTGGAGCATTTTTTTGGTGAAGTTACAATTTTTATTGATTCTGTTTTCCATCGTTATCAATTGTGATAAATTCTCATGTTTTATTTGCTTGTTGTTGAGGAGGAATCTCTCCGACGATTTGGTCAGCTAATTCGTACAGTTCTTCAACAGTCTAAAAATTAAATAGAATTAAATTAACGCTTATTATACTGTAGCAATAATAATGTAATTAAATTAATATATTTGCTTTTTTAGCAATAAATGTGGTCGAATTAAATTATAAACTACTATGACCCGACAGACGTTGTCCTGTACCTATGTCTTCAATTTTTTAATATAATATACTAATATTTATAGTTTACCTAAAAATAATAATTATTGTTTTTTAAATTACTCTTCACGCCAAAATACATATACATTTATAATATGAGCGATGTTAAATGTAGAACTGCCTTAAATAAGATGATGAGTCTCAATTCACACACTATATTGGAAATTGAAGTCTTTTAAACGGTATAACATAACCATAACATAACACAGGTACTTAAAGATTAAATTAATTTAATTTTTTATTATTTAAGATATCAAAAATTGCATCTTAAACTTCTTCTAATCGACATTCTGAAGGCTGAATTGTATGTATTCTTCTTTACTTTCCCATTTGTTGTTATAAAGTGAAATTTTTACGAATTTTAGAAATATTGTGGAAAGATTAGCAAAAGATGCAATGGAATTATATATTGAAGAAAAAAACTATATTAAAAATTTAATATCCGAATCTTGTGTTAGTGCCCCCTAAAGCGTGCGCTCGTATTTTTCGCATGCATCGCATTAAAGGTAGCACCGGCTCTGGTTAATACCTAATTTCAAAATTTAAGTGAATTAATTTGTCATATCCTGTTCATATGTGTATCATTCAATCTGCCATACATAAACTATTTTTTATATTATTTTAATTTCTGGCACATCTCAGCTGCTTTTTGGCAGTAATAATGTAGGCATTTCATTTTTCTTATTCATAATCATAAATTTATTATACATATTCTAATATTGTCTATATTCATAAGTAAACTGAAATTTGTGGCAGATGATAGTTTTCATTTGTTTTCAGTGTAAACAATGACATGTCGTTTTTTTATATTTTTTTAATTTATTTTTACAATATTGCACGCACATCTCAGTACTTTATAATCACATACATCCTAGAAAATTTCCTTAAAAAACTTCAGAAGATTTATCAAAATCCGAATAATCGTTTAGGAAGAGTATCCAGTGAGTGCGTGCAATTATATAATAGCAATAAAGCTCAAATTGATTCTACTATTGATTTTAGTTAGAAAACGTGTGTATTTGAAAAAAAAGTGCTGTTTTAATGGTTTTCCCGGCAATTATTTGATTTTTTCTCGCCATAAGAACTGTCCTTGGAATTCAACGAACATTTTACAAGAAGAATTGACCAAATTGGTTCAGGCGCTGTTGAGTTATGCGCTTACCAACACATTTTGCGATTCATTTTTATATATAAGAAGATACTATGATACTACAAAGGTAAAGTTACATGTGACCTTCACAAATATTAAAGATCTGCTCATTCAACTCGTTCGCTTAGATTTTATTTTTAAAATATATTGGTATGTAAATTTTTTATTTTGTCCTTTACTTTAATATCAAGATCCTTTTTTTAAATAAGAAAAATGTACTATGATATAATGTATTAAAGTAGTTTTGGCCCATCCATTACTGCGAAAATTGTTGTTTCTTACTTATTCCAAAGTTAACTCAGAAGCAGATTCATACAATTATTGTTGTATGCCATAATAGTTGAGAACATAATTATTAAAATTTAAAATTATTCTATACAATATACTATTCATTAACTACTTTCATAAAATAAAATTACCTCGAGTGTTCGTAATTTCTTAACTCTTGGATCTTCGTACCATAATCGGTCAAATTCTTCATCGGTCAGTCTATATGGATCGGATTCATCATCCTCTTCAACATCAACTCCCACCTGGGACAACATATAAAAAATTATTTACTTCAATAAATAAAACTTATATAAACTTGTTGGAATCAATGTTAAGGTAATAAAACAACACACCCAGAACAAGTAACTGAATGCATTAATCTGAACTTAATTTTAGTTGATGAATCATACTCAAGTCTTAACTATTAATATTATCATTAATGGATAAAGTATTAGAACTATTTTTTATCAATTGTTAATAATTTTAGTGATTTATGATCTTACAATGCTGCTGTCCTGATCCGATCCACCAGTAGCTTCTTGCAATTCGCTCTTTTCTGCAGCTCTCATTATTTCTTCAGAAGTTCCAATTGTTGCAGCTAACTCCTTGAGATATTTCAATGCTTTCGATGCAGGAGTTTGCATCTATAAATAAAATTCATACAAATAACTAATATAAGTTCGACTCATTTCCTCATATAGGGTAATCCATGATTTTTTGTACCTCAAAATAATAAAAAATTTTGAATATCAATCTTATACAAAAACCATAAAAAAGGTTTCTGGAAAAGTTAATTAGCCAAGAGGACTACATTTTTATGACCAAATGGGGTGATAGTGGTTTCTATACTACAATGCTCACAAAAGTGTTTCCAGTGATTATTTTATCTACAAATTGCTCACCTTTGCTCGTCTTTCAGCAATAATTTTCTCTGTTTCTCTGTTAATTATAAAAACCGGGTGGTTTGCCAATTCTGGAGGACACTCACTCATTGGCATATGTCCAGCCAGTAATAGTGCCTTTTCACGATCCCTTTCACGAGCCTAAATTGAAATTAAAAATAATAATTAGTAGCAAATGTGAAAAACATATGGTCCTAATTTTAAAATTTGCAGATCATATCCTACAGACGGTAACAATTCAGTTGTTGATTATTTGGAGCGAAAATGATCTCAGGGGGCGTCCATTAATCACGTGTGGTTTTTAGGGGGTTGGGGGGGGGTGTTTTGACAAAAAATTACAAAATATCACATGGGGGAGAGAGAGGTATAGTAAGATATCACGTGTATTTATTTTAACTTAAATTTAAAAAAAAATACAAACATTTTCAAAAAAAAAAAAAAAATTACAATTCTTCTCGTAACTAAAAATGGGAAGAGCGGGGGTAATTTAAAATATTAACACATATAACCAAGGAAGATGGGCGTCCAATAATCTTTAAAAAGTCATTCACGTGATTAATGGACGCCCCTTCAAGGAAATGATCTGAATTTTTAACTGTAAGTACTGAATATATAAACATCATTTTAAGTTCCATTATCATTTATAACAAATCAAATCTATTATGTGCAATACGTCATTAAATAATATAACTATTTGCAATTTTGTATAGGGCAGTAGAGTTTGTAAAGATCATATGATTCAGCATGATAAGTTTCCTATAAGCAAAAATATTTTAAGTTTTGAACTAGTGGTGTATGGCATCGTGTATTAAGGCAAATTGCTAGAACTTTCCGTACTGCAACAAAATGTTCGAGGAATATTGTCTAATTTATCTAATAAGAATTATATAAACGGAATTGAAAAGTTAAAATTATTTATTTAAAGTATATAAGTGAGCTTTAGAACTTTAGCAAGAATTAAAATTAAAATCTGAATTATTTTCGATATACAAAAAAAATTTAAAATAAGTTTAAATTAAATTAAGTTTCCAGAAGCAATTGTTTCGTCAACGCAAGCAGAAAGTCTTTTTAATCATTCAAATCGGTTGTTTAATTCTCTCAAAAACAGCCATTTTTTGTACATTTAGCTCCGTATCTTTGTAATGGCTAGACCTGCCTTTGCCAAAAACAAACAATTGAATGTTTTTAGATCATTCAAATCAGACGCTCCGTTCTCCCAAAATCTCGATTTCTATTTTCTGCACTCTTTGGCATGTATCTCCGTAGTTACTGGATCTGCTTTTGCCAAATATTAATCAGCACATCTCCCTATCAATAGGAATCGAATGTTTTTTGAACCATCCAAATCGATTGATCCGTGCGCCGAAAAATATTTTTTTTTAGTTACAATATTTATTACAACTGTTAAATAATTAACATCTAGCAATAATGATAAATAATAACATAAATTGAAATAAATAAAAGTGCAAAGGATAGAATTTACATTAGAATAATATCTGTTATATGATGATTTAATATAAAATAAAAGCAAATAATTATAAAAATAAAATTAATAAATAATATAAATAAAATTTCTGAATAATAAAATAATAATAGAAAAGCTATAAAATATAACAAAATAAAAATATTAGAAACAATAAGATAATAATAATAATAATAATAATAATAATAATAACAATAATAATAATAATAATAATAATAATAATAATAATAATGTTAGCGTTTAAAAATTTATGAGATCACAGGGAATTTGCGCCGATAAATATAAACGAAAAAATTCGAACATAAAAAAATGCACAAACACATCCATTTTTTCTGAGGTATGCCAAAATGTTCAGAAACTTTCAAAACGTGAAGATATGCAAAAATTTTCATTTTCGATTTTCGGCCCATGACTGTAACTACCTACGGGAAGTTGATAATTCTAAGGGCAATAAACTGCAATCATCCTTTATGAAAATCAATAGATTTAAAACTTAAATCCAAACTATTTACTGAAAAGCATTTATCGAATTGAAATGACATGCATTTACTGAAGTTACCCTGTCAACTCTGACATAATCACCCGAGTTGAAGTTTGTGTCACTTATTTCGAGACATTGTTGCAAGTAGGATGGTTTCTATAAATGTATTTTTAGTATTTAATTACTTAGAAACAAGTACAATTTATTACCATGGATTGACATTATTATAAATTCATTATTCATGACCTGAAGCAAAATACAAACTTAAGTTTATGTTATCTCGAGATTACATATAAATGCAAATCGAAGCATGTTGATTACTTCGGAAACTTTCATGAAGTAGATCTACGTCTTGAGAATATAACTTTCCATGAAACTTAAAAAAATGAATTATATATTTTTTTTTTTTTTTGATCTTGTTTAATATTTATTTATTTATTTATTTACATATATACATTATTTTCATATATAATTTATTATCTTTGCTTGTGGTTTATTTGATCAACATTTACATTGAAGGAATGGTAAAATCACATTTTAATGAGATAGTAAGTCTACTTGTAGTGATGAAATTTAATATATATATTTCAATTAAATCAAAGCATAAAATCATAGTTCTTTAAATTCAAAATATTGCCTTAAGGACACTTGAGGATACCTAATCTTTTAGAAAATTACATGATTTTTGTATTGGTGTATGTTATTGGTGTTAATTGTAAATGACGATTATTTTAGATATCACTATGTGAGATTTATTTTGAAAAGTAACATTTTGACTTATATGTTATTAATAAACTAGAGTGAGAAATTTATTCCTCTAGTTCCTCAGAACCATTATATTTAGTATCCAAATTATTACACATGCCAGTAAATTTGACATGCGGCATGTCAGTTTCGTTTCAAAACTGATTTTCATGTCTACCCGATATCAAAATATATTGTATTTGACTTGATATTTGTTTTTGCGTAATATCTGATGCCATGATTTACCCTGTGAAAACTAAGCATTTGATCATCATGCAAATATTGACATCGAAAACGGAATATTCGCAAAGGTGTGTGTATCAGAGGCGTGATATAAAACAATTCAAAATATGATATTTCGCACAACGGAATTAGATGGCATTTATTGATTTTAATAACATTGAAAAACAGTTTTCATCTCTGACATAAATAAGAAATAATGGTTTATTTTTATAGTAAACCTCTCGTAGAGTAAGTTATAGTAATCGCAAAAAAAAATCAAAATGGATTTTTTTTTTCTCTTGAACATTTTGGCATACCATTAGTGTATGTGTAGTAGTATGTATGTATTTATGCTTGAATACAACTTTTCGACTACGGTTTTAGGTATACTGATCCATGACATTTGATTCCTATTGACAGAGAAACGTGCTGATCAGTTTTTGGCAAAGACAATTCCAGCCCTTTCAGCAATATGGAGCAAAAAGTGCAAAAAATGGTTTCAATTTAGAAGTCGGAGCGTTCGATTTAAATGATTCAACGTTATTTTACTATATACTTGAGACACACTAGGAAACCAAGACTAACAGTGAACATTTTGTATATATTTACTCCGAATAAGTATAGAACAAATTAGGCTTAATTGAAAATCATAATATTCAAAAACAGGGGCGTAGCGTGTCTTCATGAGGCTCCGAATCAAACATTTTTTGGAGGCCCTCTTAAAAGGAGTAATTATATTTTACAGAATATAAAAAATGCACAAATGTAAATTAATATCTATTTATCATCATCTATCTAAAAATCTTCTGATATGATTGCAAAATATATACTCACTCTCCTTGCCTATTTTTAAGTAAGTTCAGTAAAATTGTGCCAAAAATTTAAAGTTGGTAAATGAGATACCTTTATACTTAACATATTGAGCTATTAATCTATATTAATAATTAACATTATTAATATAAGGTATAAAATATCTTATTTTATCTCATGCAAATAGTAAGATAATAGAGTGAGCTTATCTGACAATAGAACTACGAATTATGCAGTTCGTTCATTTTTTTTTTAAATATAAAGTTAACTTTAATACTTTTCAATTTCTCGCAGAGAATCTTGCATATCTTTGAAGGTTTTTGAACATTTTGGCATACTTTAAAAAAATGAATGTATGTATGTGCATGTTTGAATACAATTTTTCGTCCACGATTTCGAGAGCACGCATTATCAGATTTGAATGATTCAAAAAACATTTGATTTGTATTGATGGGGAGACCTGCTGATAAGTTTTTGGCCACGGCAGGTCAGTCGTTTCGGAGATACGAGACAAAGAATAGCAATTTTGAGAAAACGAAGCGACCGATTTGAATGATTCAAAAAACATTCGATTCGTAATGATGGCGAAATGTGCTGATTTTGTCAGAGGCTAGTCCAGCCATTTCTAAGATACTAAGAGCGAAGCGTCCAATTTAAATAATTTGAAAAACATTCTATTCGTGTTCGATGGGGAGACGTGCTGATTCATTTTTTGGCTAAAACAGTGGTTTCGAAGATACGGGATAAAAAGTAACAAGAATAAAAATTTTGTGAGAACAAATCATACAATTGGAATAATGCAAGAACATTTGATTCGTATTGATGGGGAAACGTGCTGATCAGTTTTTGGCAAAGACAAGTCCAGCGCTCTAGAAGATACGGGGTAAAAAGTAACAAAAATGGCGATTTTGTGAAAACGGAGCGTCCGATTTTAATGATTTAAAAAACATATCACTATATTGTTAGTATCATATTGATATAATTAAGGATTGGTTAAATTTTTGGTAAGGCAAGTCTATCGGTCTTTGAGATCCAGTAAAAAAAATGCTGTTTGTTGGCCAAAATTGATAATTAGACATACGCACATCAAATTATCAGATATTTCATAAAGATGTTAATAATAATTACAACAATTAAATTAGTTTTACAGTTGAAATTTTTCATCGTGCTTTGATATTTCGTTTCAAAATCAGCTACGTAGCGCGATTAATTAGAAAAACAATTAAAAAAATTCAAAAAATTCGAAAAATCCTTGAGAATTTAAAAAATTTAAATTCCGGTACCGAAAGTTCCAGCAATTTGTCTTAAGGCACGATGCCACGCACGACTAGTCAAATATAAAGTCAACTCAGTAATTTTACCTATGATACCTACCTCCCGTTCCTTAATTCGTCTGTCCTGTCGCAAAACGTAGTCATCCTTAATCCTGACTTGCAGCTTTTGCATATAATTCCTGTCCGTCACGCGGACCAAATTGGAGCCCATAAGACGATCCAACCTGGCGCGAACTTTGACCGTCGAAAATCTGAAAAAGATATTACGATTTGTAAGAATCCTCTCTATTTCAGTATAAGATTTTTTGTTTCTTACATTACAAATATAAAAAAATATCAGTGCCAATAGTAAACGACTTTTTTCAATATGTTCAATATTTGTATCTACATATTTGGTTCTTTATTTGTAAGAATAATTAAGTAAAATCATATATAAACATATGTGTCAGAATGTTTTTGTTGCGAACGCTGCTTAAAATCATAGAAAAAAGATATATATGGTTTGCTGGTTGCTAATAATAGTTTAACTTTATTTTTTATAATATATATAGATAGAGAGAGAGAAAAATCGAATTTTTGATAGAATGGAGCATTTGATTTGAATGGCCAAAAAACATTCAATTCGTGATGACAAGGAAAAGTAGTGATTGGTTTTTGGCAAAGGCAGGTCCGACCGTTTCGGAGATACCGAACTAAATCTGCAAAATATTACAGTTTTTGAAAGAACTAAGCATCCGATTTGAATGATTTAAAAAGCTTTCTGCATGTGTTAACAAAACGATTTTTTTTAAGAAAAGATTTTTTTTTTAAATTTTTAAAGAATATTTTTTTGTATATCGTAAATAATTCGGATTTTATTATTAATACTAGCTAATGTTCTTTAATAAAATATCTTCATATACTTTGAATAAATAATTTTAACCTTTGCGATTCAATTTATATAATTTTTATAAATATAAGACAATGTACTTAATTTTAAATTTGATTGATTGAGTTGTGTTTATTAACTTTTCTGTAAACATATTTAAGCTACTGTTTTTATAACAATCTATTTGAAAACATTTACTATTCCTCGAATTTTTTATTACGGTACGGAAAGTTCCAGCAATTTGGCTTAAGGCACGATGCCACACACCATTAGTTAATTTTTTTTTTTGATAGCAATAAATTCAATATAAAATAATGCATAAATGTTCATGTGTACGAGCTCTGGTAATAAGTGATAGGATTTTAAGTATTTGTGTATCATGTTTTTGAAATAAGTGTATATTTATAATTAAATAAAAGTATTTTCCTTCATATTCCCCATTATACAACTTATTTAAAACTTATTTTAAATTATCAGTTTTAATCTAGAAGCAACTTATTTGATTTATCTGCAAGTTTAAACCACGAATATTATTGTTCATAAAAATTGTTACATTGAAATAATATGTGAAAATATTTTGAAAGTTATTTATTTGATAAAATATATAATTATTAACCAATATAATATGAGACATTGAAGTGATTTCTAATTCAGGTCTACAAATGTTAAATTATTTTCAGCCTGTATAGTACTAGTTTTGTAATGTGAACTTGAGGTAGTGCAATCATTACTACTGTCTAATGC